GTATGCATTATTTGTATAATGGCATCAGGACATGGTACCATATACAACAAGGTTAGTGGCCATGGATAACAGTATTTAGATTATGCTTGAGAAGAAAACAAGGCAGGAGTCTGATATGCACGTAATAATAAAGGTGTTTTCAAGCGCTTTCAAATACCCGGGTAGTACAAGGTGGAAAGAAGGGAAGGTTAACCACTGAGTTCAACCATAATAGGGCTCAATGTTGTTTCCAATGCCATATTTAGACAAGCAGGTAAGGGACTACGATTTTGGTAGGGAAAGGTAGTGTGTGAAGGATATGGGGAAGGGGGGAATTCTACTGTTGGACTTCAGTAGGAGGAGAGGAACATAAGGGGGTGGACAGAAAGGGGTAGATCTTAAAGTGTGAGTGGGAGAACGTTGCTGAAATAAGGGAGGGGTGCCCAAAACAAAGAGTAGCTGAGAAGCCAACCTGAGGCAGGAGATAGGGTAAGAAGGAGGGGGATGGAAGAGTGCAAGGGGGGGGATAGAAAAGAGTGCAGGGGGGATATGTGGGACAAGAGAAAGAGGCGCAAGAAAGTAGGTAGAAAAATCAGGGGTGCTCGGGGGATAAGGGGTACTGGGGAGGGATTAGACCAGCCTCTGTTCAACAAAGAAAACTTCTCTACCGCAAATTACCTGGGAGACTTTGAACCGGTGTTCTAGCCTAAATTTAGCAATAATCCTCTAATACAATGAAGCCCGGCTACTCGGTAACATCTATGAGTAAGGCTTCGGCCAAAATGGGTTAGTGTGTTACTGCTGTATCCAGCCATGTGGCCAATAAAGAAATCATGCAATGGATGTTACTGAGTAGCTTCATTGTATTAGACCAGGCTCTGCCTGTCCTATAAGGGTCATTTTGAATCAAACGGGAGCAATGTTACATGGCTTTAGACAGGGTTAGTTGAAAATAACAGATTTTTGAAAGGCAGTTAAATATTAACCTCTTTAGTTTAATTCTATAAAGGTATACGTAAGGTTGGTCCACTCAAAGCACACCACTGATCTCCCTGCCGCCATTTTTGTTTTTATTCCCATTCACCTTGGAGTTGTGGGTGCTCTTGCCCGCATGCTCAATTTGAATTTTCCATCATACAAAATAACATGAGAAGGAGATCCTCTCATGATGGTCCCAGTAGCAGTGAAGTCCTTACAGAGATATCAGAAACCATTCATTTAGCTCTGGGTAAACTGACCCCTTGAAATGAGAGAAATTTATCAGGTGTTGCCATTAATAAGCAATTGTTGAGTATCTAAAACAAAGAAAAGTTTTGCTTTTGATATTCTTCGATTAGAGTAGAGAAAGGTTAACCCCTATCTGTTTTTATTGTGATGTCCTTTGGGGAGATTTCCCTTCAACCCTCCAAATTAGACACCACAGCAAGCAAGACAAAATCTCAAAAACAAAGTGAGAGAATTCTCTTAGACAATTGGTTGTCAGAGCAACTAATATCCCAATTGGAAGGTTTTTCCCTCTATTGTTCTTGTGACATCTCAACATTTTGAGTATCCCATCACGTTTCATTCCTGGTGGTGATGATGATTACCATGAGAAATAGAGGCACGACACAGCAATAAAGACTTGACAGGGGTTCTAATGCACCCATCCCTGCTTCTGTCACTACTCCTGTAGTGATCAGTAGGATGTGGTTTTGTGCTAGGAGGGGGAGAAACAGAATTTTTGTAGGGGAAATTGGGGAGGGGGATGAATTTTGTGCTAGGAATGGGAATTTGTGCTAGCAGGGGGATATTGTGGGGGTGGAATTTGTGCTGTCTCGGGGGGGGGGGGGGGGGGGATTGTGGGTTTTATGCACAAAAATGCACTGCCTTTTGCAGACACATTTAATTTAATTCTTAATGCCATTCGCGCCCTCTAAAGTGCACGCTACCGCAGTACCATGTGTTTTGGTGTGACGTGATTTTAAAAATTCATACTAGCATTATTTTTGAGTGTTTCACACTCGTAGTACAAAAAATGGCCACTGCCCCAGTCTATAACTGGCCTTCACAGCATAAAGCACATGGACGGGCAACGCATGTCAAACAACAAAAAAGAAAAATTTCCAGCTCACACTTGCCAGCCAGCCTGCAAACAAATGAATTACCTGTCTAGCAGTATGTGTTAAAAACGGGTTTAGTTAGCACACATTTGCAAATACATGCATAAGCTACAGAGCCTCGCCATGGCACCCCGATATTCTGTAGTCCTAACTCTACAAATTTTAAGAGCCCCCATAATAGAGGCACATGCATTTTTAATGGATAGATCAAGGGCAGGTGGACCTGAGGGAGCCCACCCCTCCTTATAGGTACAGGAGCGCACTGGACACCCATCACGTAGCATAATGGCATTTGCTATTAATAGACACGACGTGTGAGAATGCGTAAAAAAGCACATGCGCGTCGACGCACCTCCTGATATGAACAAACCCTCAGACTGGTGCACCCTGAGATTTTGCACAAAGTTTCAAAGGGTGTGCCTTGACTGAAAAAAGGTTGAAAAACACTGTGCTAGAAAAATAAGTCCAAACCATGGAGGCCCAACCTTGAAACATACAGGACTTAAAGGATCTGCTACTGATGGATTGGTGCAAGATACCACAACATACCTTCCGAGGTATAGTGATGTCAATGCTTCAACAAGTCAGGGCTGTTTTGGAGGGCAAAAGAAGACCTACTCCATAACAGGTGAATGTTCATAAAACATATATCAATGAGAATGTTTACAATGTTTGCAGTACATTGATTTCTCACATATATTTAAAAGACTGCAGAACCTATAATAAAAAAAATGTGGATTGATATTAAAAGTTTCATGTTTATTTCATTACAGACCTAAAACATGTACAATATATGCTTCATTAGCAGCAGATTTATAATTAGCAATTACGCTTAAGGTTTGTACATATGGACATTTGTTTTGTAAGTAAACCTGTTTTCTAAAACAAAACATGGTAGATATTAAATATGTAATCCTTTGTAAATCATTTATAACCCTATAACAAATATATGTCTAGATACATGTAATCAATAAATGCAGTGAAACTGAGATTATTGATGGTTAGACAGCTATTCACATAAAACATTTAAAGTTTAATCACCTATAAGTGTCCAAAGGTGGACAGGTATCTTCCTGAGAATGACGGGAGTGGAGATATCTGCTTGTCTTCTAATGACTCATAGGAATGTTGGGACTCACCATTATAGTCAATCAACATACACAGTAATTCACATGCAGTATTTTAGATTCTTCACCTTTCTAAGTCAAATAATATTCCAAGTACAGTATAAGAGCATCAAATGCATAAGTTAAGAGTCAAGTTTATTTGAAATCGCAACCTTGTTACAGCTCAAGTGTCCATAAAACATGACAGTGTGTTTGGGGGGGGGGGGGGGTCTTAAAATCCTCCATCATTAGGACTGGGCTTTGAAAATTAGGCAACCTGCCAAATACTGCTGGATGGAAAAGTCTTGTATCAAGTGTAAAAAGCCTGTGGAGCTTAAACTACTGTTGATGCAGTCGCCAAAGCAGTTCATAGGTTTAATAAGTAACTCACATAACGCCATAAGCTAAATCTGAACCTTAGGTGCAAAATAGTCCCGCCATTGTCCTGGGGACACTGATGACTGGTAAGAGATTCAGTTTGCCTGTCTACCTTTTGGGTGGTCCCAGGCATTAAAGGGCCATACAGAGGGTGCTCATATGTTACAAGTCACAAAGAACAGGAAGACGAGGACTGACTGACCAAGGTAAAGATTCCAACTGGACATGGCCAGACAGGGCAAACAGAACTAGGTAAGTATAGAGCTTGATGCGAAAGGGTTAGATTAGCTCCCTGGTGCCCAACTCATGGCCCTTTGGTATATGGTGTGCAGTGCTTGGACATTAGCAGCCTGTGGTGGAAACAGAGTAACAGCATTGATCCCTACTAGACTCATGTAACATGTTCCCAGTTTCACATTGTCTTCTGCAGCATATCTTCAGCCAAAAATGTAGCATGTCCACATTCTCTGACCCTCATTTCCTTGATTAGGTTTGCAGTCTCTGTCAGTCCTCTCAGGCATTACATATATTGAACATTATGTGTGGCCTTTGGTGATGTCAGGGACTTTATTTGAGGCCCTCTTTAGCTCACTTAAACCACTGACTTAGCTCATTTAGTGGGGGGTGCGTAGGGAGCAAAAAGGGTAGGGAAATTTTCAGAAAAATGTTTTTCTTACCCTTTAAGCAAATTGTTTGGTCAGTCCCTCTTATTATTATTATTAGTATACAGAATTTATATAGCGCCAACAGTTTGCTCAGCGCTTTATAATATAATGGGAGACAATCAGGGGCGGACCGACAACTCATAGGGCCCCCCGGGCAATAGAGGATCATGGGGCCCCTGTGTCCTCACGCACACCCACAAAAAAAAAGCCATGAAAAAACAAATGAAAGGTACCAGGGACATCTTCATGGGCCCCCTACTGACCCCGGGCCCTCGGGCACTGCCCGAGTGCTCGAATGGTCAGTCCGCCCCTGGAGACAACACAGCAACAATACAGTTCAATACAAGAGGGATAGGAGGGCCCTGCTCCACGGAGCTTACAATCTAGGAGACTAGATGAATGTCATATTTTTGGGGAAAATCTGACTGTATGTTGCCAGAGTTTAGCAAAAACCTACCCAATTATGTGGAAATTGTGCTATATAGCATCAGCATCTAATCCACTATTACTGGATTAGACCAACTTGTTGTTATAGTAAATGTGGTCATTACTGACTTGAAGTATGTTGGGAGCTTTAGAGGAGCAAATCCAGTCAATGTATACGTGTGCAAACTAAATATTTGAACAACAGCCATAAAACATTTCCACAATATCTTTACACTATATATACAAACTCATTTTCTGGAACTATTTAACACCCCTGTTTTATGAGTTATGGCCAAGCATTCTATTTACAATGTACTTGAATCCACAGTTGGGATTAGGTCTGATTATTTCTTTTGCAGGCCTTGAAGCATGTCAATGGGGATAGGGAATATAATAGTGGAATTGTTCTCGGTGGCGATGGTGGCTAAGGTTTGGAGGTAGCGCAGTTGTAGAGCTGCTGGAGATTCACACATCACCATTGAAGCTTCCTTCAGAGCCCGTGAGGCGTTCATCTCCCCTTCTGCTGACACTATCTATAAAAAGAAAGAAGGCATAAAAAATATATACTTTATAATATACATGTTATAATTTAGCATGATTCACAATTGATTGAGTGCATGAAGGCTCTATTGACCCTGAAGAGGTGAAACCTCATATATTAGCAGTTTCAACTTTAGGTGGGAAGAGGAGAATAGGTTTCTAGGGAGATCACAACAAACCTGCAGCAGTATACTGTATCTTTACACTCTACTACCTGTTGATCGAGGAGTTTATATACAATGCATATCACATAAATCAGTGCTGAAACAAGGTTTCCTAAGAATTTGAGGACTTTAGTACCTTCTGCCAAAGTGCACTGCCTCCACCCGCCCCTCTTTTTATTTGCAATATAAAATATTAGCAGAGTCAGTATGGCAATTCAAATGCATCAGTGTCCCTGCTCTGCCTGCCAGCCTGCTTCCTAGATACCCCTTTCACTCCTTCTACACAGGCTACATTGTGGCCCTCAACATTTGCTGAACTAACAGCCAACAGCCTGGTGCTAGTAGCTGGGTAGCATATAAAGCTGGCTAAACTTTGCAAATTTTGTCCGGTTCTTGAAGAACCACACAAAATTCACTTGTTGCCCCCCTCCCACCTGATTTTTAGTCAAAACAGCCCAACAGAAAGTGTCAGCTGAACAGTGGCAGCATCCATTAGCCACAATTCCGATATCCTGACAGCGTCGGCAGTGGCTGTCAGAATAAAATAGCCCAAAAGGGGGATTCATCCATCCATGTGGATAGTGTGGATGAGGAATCTGTTAGTTTTGCCTGCTGCATAAACGGAAAAAAAAAATCTATCAGTGCATGATTAGTCTAAGGCATGGCGTTACAGGGGCAAGGAGTGTAGCTTCTGTGCATATTCACCTGTATTCACCTAACTGTATACAAAATAAATATTTTTTTAGACTAAATATTTAAAAAGGTTGCAATATAGATTAAGGACTGCATAAAAATTAAATTTTTAAAACCATAGTTAAAACAGCGAAAAGACCTCCACAGCCACTTAAAATGGTTCTGGAGCACATATAAAGAGAAGATTGTGTTATACTGTGTGCGGATTACACTTTTTTGTTCCTCTTTGATACCCACACATTGCTTTTTATCAGTAATTTCAATCATCAATGAGCTTGGGCATTTCTCTGGCTTCTGTATTACCTCGGGGAAGTCTATACTGCTGCCTCTTGACCCTTTCCCCTTACTGCAACCTCCCACTTTGGCATATTTGAAAGTAATTATCTTGAAATACCTTGGAAGTACTTTCGCCTGCTTCCCTTTGGATTATGTTCCACAAAATATGCTCCCTTTGTTGACTAGATTCCAAGCTGAATTACCTGATATAAATTGCTCTTATCTTTAGTGGACCAAATCAACTTAAATGTAAATGAATGGCAACTTTAGAGACTTAATTTAGAAGACAAAAACCTCTAGAATCAAACTGGAGTTTTTGCCATACCCCAAAATTTCAGGCAGTCTCACAGCCCCAAATGCATGGATCTATTTTATAGCCGCTCAGCTGCAACATCTGGCAGGCTGGGAGGAAATTGACTATTCCTGTTCCACCTTTAAAATTCTTTTGGGTCCTATTTAAAGGCAGACACCCATTTCATGTATTGGAGATGCCATCACTTACCATCTGGGCTACATACACCATCTGGGTTACAGCTAAAACATTATTAGGTATTAACCACTTCAGTACCTGGCACTTTCACCCTCTTCCTGCCCAGGCCAATATTTCAGCTTTTAGTTACTGTAGCACTTTGAATGACAATTGTGCCGTCATGCAACATTATACCCATATGAAATTTGTAGCATTTTTTTTTTCTTTAGTAGGGAGAGCTTTCTTTTGGTGGTATTTCATCACCACTGGGTTTTTTGTATTTTTTGCTAAACACAAAAGATCGAACACATTTGCAAAAAAAAACAAAAAAAACTTTTTCTTAGTTTTTTGTTATAAAATTTTGCAAATAAGTAATTTTTCTTCCTCACTGATGGGCTCTGATAGGCTGCACCAATGGGGCTGCACTGATAATCAGTGCTGACAGTGCTGACCTCAGCCTTGCCAGGTATCGGCTGACTTTTCCTCATCTAGACACAGTGTGTGAGGAAAAGACTGCCGATAAAACCGCAAGTATGTTTACATGTGATCAGCTATGATTGGACACAACTGATCACATAGTAAAGGGTTGCCATGATTGGCCCTTTACCGCGATCTGTGATTAGCTTTGACCAAAGGACACAGTGGTCACAGAGCAAACCCAATGAACACCTCAGGGGACACACAAGGAAAGTGTTTTGGGAGAACATCTAAGGATGCTGTCCCGGAACTAGAGAGCCGCGCTGTAGCCATCTTTCTGCTATAGCACGGTAGTAAAGTGGTTAAAGCAGTTGTAAGTGGTAATTTTTTTTTTATTAAAAAGCCCAGAACCTCCTATTTTGAGGTCCCCTACCAATGCTGTTGGCTCCTCCTCTTCTCTATGTGCCACCAAAGGAAGCCACTACTAATACACATAGCTCTGCTCAACCCCACCCCCGCTCTTTTCTCACAGATTTCGAACAGCAATAGTAGGAGCCAATGACTCCTGTTACTGTATCAAAGCCTGTGAGAATAGAGAGAAACCAGAGTCATTGCAGATTGACACAGCGTTGGATCAATATAGGACTCAGGTAAGTATAAAGGGAGGTGAGGGGGAGATACAACTAGTGGGACAATTTTTTACTAAAAATGATATCCTTTAATATCATTTTAAACCACAGCACTGATCCAAGAATTCCATGGTCAATCTTTGCATCTCTTCACACAATGGGCGCAGCTTGCGTGATCACTCATGCAGAACAGCACGTAATGAGATCATGAGACTACAGGTGCGCAGATCTGTTGCCGCACTGACTTTTGTCATGTGACGGCATAGTGGAATTCTAAAGAGTGCCATAGACATTCTTTATGAATTTTCCTGATACTGTTCTTAAAAAAACACACTTAAAGTTGTATTAATGAATACACAATAATTTGTGTGTTTTTACATCGGCCCATAATTCAGGTTTTAGTTAACAGGTGTTGGCAAATGCTGCAGGTAAAACATGGTGTCCCAGGGATAAGATGGTGCCATCAGTTACTGCATACTAACTAAGGTTTTAATTGCTTACTTTAAATAAATGAACCTGTTTTTTTACAGTTGCCTCATTTTTTAACACACATAATTTATGCACTGAAAAATGACAAAAATTGCCAACAATTGGTTAATCTCATGCTACTTGAATACATATCAGACATGCAGTTGAGGACTTAAAAGCAGTCTTATACTGTCATGGATACAATATAACTTACAAATGCCAACCCAGTATATTAATTGTATTGTTACAATACCATGCAGCACATTTTACAATGGCGTGCTTTTGGCCTAATAACTGGTAACCGTTACCTTAGCTCTAGCCTCTCGAACAGCTTCAGCCTCAGCCGCCATTGCTCTCTGCATTTGCACTGGTAGACGAACATCCCTCATTTCTACCCGTTCCACATTCACCCCCCAGTCATGGGTAGCATTATCCAGAATTGACTAGAAGACATAGGATGGTTTATTCTATATTACTGCACAATACCTTTGTTCCATTAAAAAAAAAAATAGTACCATAAAATACATATAAATGTAACATCATGCTACACAGAAAATATGCATACTGGTAAATGGCAGATGATGTATGCAACGGCTTTCCATAATTTTTGTTATAGTTCTCTCTACCATCTTTTAATCCAATCCTAAATGGATTTTTCTTAAATTTCATTTTGAATGGAAGACTTGGTTTGGGGATCAGAAATGGAGGAGTGCCGACTGTCACACACTTGCCCTCCGGAGGATTTACCCCCCTTCCGGACCAGGCCATTTTTTTGCAATATGGCGTTGCAATACTTTAAGTGACAATTGCGCAGTCATGCAATGCTGCACCCAAATGAAATTTATGTCCTTTTTTTCCCCACAAATAGAGCTTTCTTTTGGTGGTATTTGATCGCCTCTTTTTGCTATAAAAAAGGTAAAAAAAAATTTTAAAAAAAACAAAATCAAATTTCGGCATAAATTTAGGCCAAAATATATTCTGCTACATGCCTCTGCTAAAAAAAAAATCCCAATACATGTAAATTACGGTAATCATTTTATGTGAAAGTTATAGCGTCTACAAATGGCAGTATATATATTGGATTTGTTTTTTTTTTTTTTAGTAGTGGCGGCGATCAGCAACTTATAGCGGGACTGTGGCGGGCATTTTGACACGGGGGGAATTGACTAAATGCCACTGACATCTCAATTACATTAAAACAGTGATCAGTGCTAATAAAAAGCACTGATACTGTACTAATGACACTGGACAGGAAGGGGTTAACATCTGGGTTAATCAAAGGGTTTACTGTTTGCTGTTTTATTGTGTGAGTTTTATTAGGGAAACATGCTGCTTTGTATTGGTCTGCTATCCAGAGCAATACAAAGCAGCATGTCAGTGCTGACAGGGGAGAGATCTGTTTTTTACACACAGACCTCTCCCCTGTCACTGTTCCTCGGCGATCACTGGGTGCCAGAGGGGAATCTCCAGCTGGGAGCCGGTGATCAACATATGTAGCCCCCAATGGCGGCGTGGGTAGAGCGGCACATGTGCCCACTAACTGGAAATGCAAAATCATGTATACAGTATATACTTGATTTTGGCTGAGCCCTGCCGCCCTGTAGCATTAGTTGTGCTATAGGGCAGTTGGGAACCGGTTAAACACGCTGCTAGCAGGTTTTTGAATAAGCACTGTTTTTTCCCCCACTGGAGCGAATAAGATCCCGCTTTATTTGGGTTTTTTGCCTTCCTTTGGATATAGGATTCTGTATATGGAGGTTTTCTATTAGTTAGGTTTTTTTTTTCTATTGGTTGAACTAGGACTTGTGTCTTTTTCAACCTGTCTAGCTATGTAAAAGCAGTACAGGTCAACTTAGTGTAGAAAGCATAACAAGTTTTGTTGAATAAAAATGACATGTACATTGCACTCACAAATGCTTATGATTAGAAGGCATCAGTGGTTGCGACTGTAATACACATTTTTTTATTTAATATTAAATTAGTTATACTTACTACACCATACTGACCTGTGGTGCTCTCATCTTAAAGGGAAAACTGAAGGCAAAATATTTTTTCTTAATTTCGGATAGTGTAAGGGAGGGTTATAATCTCGGCCAGGTTTTTTTTGCTATTTATGTCCCCTTGGAAAGATTTCTCTTCACTTCCTGTGCTATAGCCACAACAGGAGGAGAGATGATACCCTTTCAAATTGAGAAAAGACCCTGGTGTTCCCTAGGGTCACTATAACTAGTGTCGCCATTGGAAGATTTCCCCTCTACTCCTGATCAGGTGACTGCCCAAAATGTTGAGACTTTCTTTAATTTTCACTTTCATTGATAATGGTCACTAGGGCTAACAGAAGTTTTGCCTTCCTTTGAACTTTAATATCTTGACAGTTTCTTGTAGATTCTGCTCCCTCTGCCATTGCTTGCTGCCACATGGTGTATAGGGATGAGCAAATCTGCCTGTGTTGGATTTGTTGAGGGTTTAAAAAATTCTGTTTAAAATATGTTGAACCTGAGCTAAGCAGGTAATCCTGCTGAAGTCTATGGGAGGTAAATATTCTGGCCATTAGTAAGTTCTGGCCATTATTAGGGCTAATAGGCAACTACTGTATAAAAAAAAAAAAAAAAAAAGCATGGGGAGCTGGGCACTGGCATGAGAAACTTGTACCAGTACAGAAAAACAAAGTGGAGAGATGGTCCTTTCATTCAATTTCAAGGCCAAAATTGAATATATACAAATCCTTTAAATAACATGCTTGAGGGTGCCATAAAGAGTTCCCTCTGTGACTGCTGCGGACGTGATTGACCAAGTGCTGTCAAGTGACCAAGGGGAGCTAAGCACTGCACAAGAGACATGTACCAATGCAAAAAAAATATAACATTTTAATAGTGGAGAGTTTTTACTTTCATTCAACCCGGACAGAAAGTGAGGGAAACCCAAAATGTTACCGTTTTCACTGGCACAGAAACAGAAGAGACATCTTCCAATTGGGACATCTGTACTGGTGACAACTGTTAAGACTGAGATTTTTCTGAGCTCTGTGGGGAGATACCTACTCACAAATTTTGTGTCTGTGAGACGGTAACAAGAAATCTTCACAATGGGGACAGAAACAAAAAAACTTGATAGATCTTTCTCATAAAAATTTTTTTTTATTTTATTATTTGGAGAGCAGAATCCTACCTGAATATTGTGGGCGATTTCCTCGCGGTTTGACAAGATGCTGGAGAGGGTCTGTGTCCCCAGAATGTTCCTCAGAGTGGTTTGGGACAGCTGGGCAGTAGCTACATGGACGTTGTTCACATTTGCCACAGATTTTATTGCATTGTAAATCTTATAATACACAACACCATCCACTGTTGTTGTAACGGAGTCTTTAGTAAGGATCTAGAAGAAAACAGAAGCAACAAAAACTTTACTAAAATTAATCTTTAAAGTGAAACTACACAATATCCTTATTCTTCAAAAAGAATCCATACACATCCACTATTTAATGGCCCTGTGAGCTATTTTAGTTTCTTACTGTGTTTGTCTGCCTCATTGTAACATCTTCCGTGAGCTCCAGAACCAGAAGAAGAATCTTTTTTTCCCCCTCACTTTTGATTGTTTGGAATGAGCAGCACATGCACAGTAGTGGTCATGTGCACTGCTCTATGCACACTACAAATCCCATAGCTCATAGTCCATCTCAGGAGCAAGCAAGAGAGTGTGGCTATGTTCCTACATACATTCTTACTGGACACTTTATTAGGTACACCTGTTCAATTGCTTGGTAACACACATTGCTAATCAGCTAATCACATGGCAGCAACTCAATGCATTTAGGTATCTAGACGTGGTGAAGACGACTTGCTGATGTTCAAACCAAGCATCAGAATGGGGAAGAAAGGGGATTTAAGTGACTGAACGTGGCACGGTTGGTAGTGCCAGATGGGTTGGTCTGCGTATTTAAAAAGTGGGATTTTCACGCACAACCATCTCTAGGCTTTACAGATAATGGTCTGAAAAAGGGAAAATATCCAGTGAGTGGCAGTTGTGTGGATGAAAATGCCTTGTTGTTGTCAGAGGTCAGAAAAAGAATGAGCAGACAGGTTAAAGATGATACAAAGGCAACAGTAACTCATGTCAATATGGACCAAAATCTCTAAGGAATGTTTCCAACACCTTGTTACATCTATGCCATGAAGAATTAAGGCAGTTCTGAAGGCAAATGGTGGTCCAACCCGGTACTAGCAAGGTGTACCTAATAAAGTGGCCAGTGAGTGTAGTGAAGCAATGGAAAATGAACGTAACCACCTTCTAACAGGAAGTCAGATTACAGCAGCAAAAAAAAGGAAAAAAAAATTGGGAGGAGGCTGGGAGTACTAAAAGGTACTTTTTTGAGTTAAAGTGTAAGTTCACCTTTTTACAAAAAATGAAAAGGTGAACATACTACACACACCCCACCCCACCCCATTGTTCTTGCTGCATTTACCTCTATAGATGATCATCGATCACTGCCTATGCAGCCGATGCAGCAGTCCAGAGATTTGAAGGTCACGGTCTTCTGCGCTTTCTTTCAAAGCAATTCTAATTGTTCAGAGCTGGCAGGTGACCACTATGACCAACTGGAATCGCTCTTATTTGTCCTGGCATCCCAAAGGAAAGAAGGGGAAGAAGACCATGGCTTTTAAATTCCTTGACTGCTGTACTGGCGGAGTGGGCAGTGAAAGCTAATCATCTACGGAGGTAAATGAAATGGGGACCAGGGGTGGGGAGGGTACAGCATGTTAGTTCACCTTTTCATACTTTTTTCCCACATGGGTAAACTAGAACATGACAAGAAGTGATCTGAATTCTCTCCAATGGATAACAGACAATAAAGAAAAGAACAGACAGGGTCTAGACTCTCTACTTTGTCCAAACTCAAAAAAAGTTTTGATTTTAAATATACAAAGAAATTATTGTATTTCATACATAGAATAAAACAATACATCTATTCAAAACTGGGGAATTTAAGGTGCAGACTATGTTCAGGCTGTAGTGTATGTTGATAAATGAGATGAAGCAATGGCAAAAAAGTTGGCCACACTCCAATGACATCGGCCTTCACAAAACTTTATTATTCTAAGACTAAATCCTAGAAGAGTCCACCCAGACCATAGTTCTCTATGATTAAGCCCATTTTTAGATGAAGACTGGTCTGGGTGGACTCTCCTGTGATCTAGTTCTAGAGTAATAAAGCTTTGTGAAGTCTGATATCATTTGAGTGTGGCCAACTTTTTTTTCTCATGTAGGAAACATTGATGAGCTTTATAGACTGGCACCTGGAACCACAGAGAAGGGTGGATTGCAAGCTTAGAGCAGCAGTTATCTTTAGTACTGAGATAAAGTAGCCTGTAGAAGGTCACAGGAGCCCACAAATAGTCTCAGCCAGGGCAGCCTATTACTGAGCTGTAACATATTTTATTTATGATAACCTGGAATATGTCTATACATTGAACGCAATAACACACCTACCTCTTGTGGTGGGATTGCAAATGATATCACCCTCAAATCCACCTTAAGGAAAGTATCAGTGCAGGGCAGAATGAATATTATTCCTGTGTATCGAAAGAAGATTGTCATTATAATGTACATTTTATAATATCCCCATTAGAACAGAACACTGTCCTTATTTATAAAAGTGTCTGGAAAAACATTTAAAAAGTTAGACTTTTTAATAACTAATTTTTTCATGTTTCAATATGTTTATTGGTTTTAAAAATGAGCATGGAAAATCAAAGGCAAGCATATGAATCGCCCACGCAGGGGCTAAGTAATGAATAACCATTACAGACTGATCAATAACCGTTACAGTCATGAAAACCAAGATAAAAGGATTCAGAAACATAGGAATGATACCAAAAAGTTGAAAATGTAAGGAAGCCATGTCACAAAATTCTACACAAAATTCAAAAGTCCCCAGATGGGGTCTCTTCGCCTGCAACCATCCCCGAAGGGCCGTAACTGAGTGAGCATGAACAGAGAAAAACTAGAAGGAAAAATTGGGGAAAAAAAAGAAAAGAGGATCATGGGCACGAGAAGGGGAAGGAAGGGAGGGAGGTAACTTGGACTCGGAAGCCCTGGGGGGAGCAGTCAGACAAGGCCTAGGAAGGTCTGTTGCAATGAGGGGAACTCAAATGAGACCCAGGGTTCCCAGACCTTGAGAAATATGGCATGTGAATTATTTAGAATACTGGACATTTGCTCATGAAGAATCACTGTGGTCATACGTATCTTCACCCCTGGAAGACTGCGCACTAGGTCTTCCAGGCTTGCGCTATGGTCTGTTTAGCTGTGAAAAAAAGATATGTAGCCAGCATCTGCTGTGATGCATATAAGCCAGGCATTGGGCAGTGTAAGTGTAAGTTCGCATCCCTATGGACTTTTAGGTGGAAGAGACCAGAACCCTACTAGTCTTAAACAGGACCATCAGATATGGAGAAACATCTGTCACTACTCCCAAGGTAAGCATGGGCAACCTGGGTAGGGACCCAGTACCATCTGAATAGGACCTTGTATGCTGCTTCAAGTGTATTTGTATTGAAGGAGCATTTAGCAACTATTTTCCAAGCTTTACTCTAGTCCTTTAGGTCCAAAGGGGACTGGAGGTCCCATTCCCATTGGGACATATACAGGTAGGAGAGGGATGCTGATGATGGACGTCCATTGAAGGATGCATAGGTGGCCAACATGAGACCAGGGGCCCCAGGGGTATGCTGACATGCATGTTCAAAGAAAGTATGTGGGTAGGTGGACAGGCAGTGCAAGGCATCAATCCAAACTTTTAGCTAAAAGAAAGGAAATTTTGGACCCTCATAAAGCCTTGGGAGAACCACTAGGAGAATGCCCAAGTCTCCTCCACCCCAGGGAAAAAGGGGATTGTGAGTGATAGGAAGTAGCGGTAAAAAAGGGGGACATCAGATTGGCTAAATATCAAACAGAGTAATCATTGATTTTTTAAAGATATACGTGCTGGTTTAGTACATCCTTTCCTTATGTATGTCCTGTGGCCAGGACTATAAAAATATTTTTTCTTATAAATCAGGTAAATATTGAATAATTTTATTTTGTGTTGCTTTTCTGAGCCAGCGTATGAAGCTTTAGAGATGGTTCATAAGTGCGGCACGGACTGAAGCTCGGGTTTCACAGCTAATTGACACAGTAGTTTTTCAGCGGTTCCTGTCAGGTTTACGTCAGGTTCAGGACAGGATTAGGTCAGGATTTTATCTTGTTCACACATGTGTGGTTTAGAAATGGTTCCCACAGATATCAATAGCCTGTATTCTGCACCTGAACCAGACCACTCTGCTCAGAAATTGTACAGGACTCTTTTTCAAACTGCACTGAATTTGCACCACCAGTGCACTGTACATATGTGAACAGGCACCATAGGAAGCAATGTTATTTCATGCAGATTGGATGCAGTTCAAACCGCATCAAATCCACATATACGTGAACTGGCATTTAAGCTCCTTGTCACATCTTTTCTATAGAGGCTCTGCAGCTGAAGCTGGAATCTACACATATGAGATGACTCATCAGTAGTGATTTATTCCCTGCTGTATGGCTCAATCTGACATTTCAGAAAGGCAGAGCGTACAGCTACTGTCTCTTTAGCTACCCCATAGCACTCAGGGGATCCTTTGCCATGTATTACATGTTTATTTGTGAAACACAGCTTGAATGTATACAAGCTAGATAATAGAAAAAATGATATAAGAAATAACAAATAAAATTATCTCAAAGCCATTATAGTTTCCCTTTAAAAGGATGATACATACAAATTAGATACTTACATAAGAGTTGGATTACACAAATTAAAGTATTACTACACATAAAAATTTGAAGAAGGGAATGCTGTGTAAAATAAAATATACATATAATTAAAAAATATATATTATTTAGGTTTTTAACAGTGAATTTGCATATGATGTCTAAGGTTGAACCAAGAGGTGCCCCTTTTTCCAGTGTAGAAAGTAGATACCATTTTACTGGAAAATATCTGCAATATTTTTACGTGCACATAGCCTGTGCCAAGCATGTAAACTGTTGTAACTTAGGACAGAAAAAAAGCCTGGACCGAAAGAGTATTTTTACAACATTTTGTACAATTTACAAAGAACTATTATTACATGATCTATAATAAAATTCTATTCCACCCCCCTTTGTACAGACGAAAATGGGAGGAGGATTGTGGCGTCACTTTTTCAGATGAGGATTGGGATTCCATGGTGGATAATATATGCAAGAGCTCTAGATCTCTTTCGGTTCGTGAGACGGCCCTTAAAGTTCTAACCAGATGGTATTATACCCCGTCAAGACTACATGTACTGTTTCCACAAACGTCCCCTCTATGTTTTCGGGGCTGTGACTGCACGGGTACTTTGGTTCATATATTTTGGGATTGCCCGACCATATCTTTGATCTGGCGTAGGATTTCTGAGGTCGCTGCCTTATTGTCGGGTGCCCCGATACGATTGTCCATGCAGACCTGTTTATTGGGGGCCCATATCCCAGGGGTCTCTGATGCCAATCTGAGATTGATACACACATTATGTATTGCCACTTTATGGTCTATTGCCCTACATTGGAGGTCCAATGTTGTACCCTTGGACTCCGTTTTACACAGAATTGACACTGTAATGCTTATGGAACGCATTCATTATACCCTACTGGATAAGATGCACTTATACGATAAAAAATGGGAGTCATGGAGAGATTGCAGACACTTATTACATGCTTAATAACATCCCCAGTAAGAGTTGGCTGGCATGTACTATTGACAGGTGTATCACCTAACCTACTTTGTCGTTTACGTACTTCATGCACTTGTAACTTCCTCTTTTTTTCTTATCTTCTTTGTTATGTTAATATACTTTTATGTATTGTACTTTTCAAAAGTGCCTTGTTTTTGCTGACAATATCACTTTTAAAGTGTGCTGTTGTTTTACTGTCTACTCATGTACAATAAAATCGTTTGTAAACAAAAAAAAATTCTATTCCACTTTCAATGTATGGATAGCACTTACCTGGGCCTTTGGGTTTTCCTGATGTGATACGGCCCAAGCGAAATACAACAGCCCGTTCATATTCATTAATTATCTAAAAAAAAATCACAACCAAATATGTGACTCTCTGTACACATTGGGCGTTCCATTACTACTATGTGAAAACTGAACTATACCTTTACACAGAACCAGATGGTAAGTGGGAATGTAATGGCCGTAAACAAAGCAGATAAGATGAGAATAACCCAGCCACAAGCACCGATATCACCTTTTATAGCATCTGGAGGACAAAAGATACCACTGATTAAGGACAAGTTACACTGTGTATAGATCATGGAGATTAAACAATGACAGAAGATCCAGGGCCAAACTCATAACGGCATGCTGATTTCTTCTCTGGTTAGAACCAGCCATACATGGATCAAAATCCCGCTGGTTCAACAGGGACTGGCTGAGATTCGATCCATGTATGGGTAGGCTGATTGTACCCATGTTGATCAACTGGAGTACAATGAGGGGTCATGCCCTTTTTGGAAATTTTAAATAACTGGGCTGCCCTTACCTAGGCACACAGAAACATGCAAAAATGTGCACATGCCATCACACATGCATAGGTGTGAATGCAGCCTTACTGATTGCATTCTTGTAACAGGTCATTGACTTACTAGGTAATGAAGACAGCATTAGGGTGACAGCCCCAAAACATGCAATTTAAAGCCAAGCCAGCAACGGCAGTTCCTATATTCCTGCCTATTTACTGATAAGTTTGTAATTTTTACAAGTGATGAGCAAATTAGTTTATACTATGAAAGACACCCACTAGATGGCAGTACATGATAGCATTGAAGACCCGTGGAGACTGAGATTGAGCTCTGCAGTCACTTTTGCAGCAGTTGTTTTCTTATTCTAGGTCACAATCCTGTGTAATGTCCTTTTGTCTCTTTCGGTCAGTTGACCATGTTGAACTCACTTATGTGTATCAGACGATATTTTCCCAGAAACTGTATATGCCATTATAACCTTTGATATTGCACCTCGCGACACAACAAATAAATTGGCAACTTCAGTCACAGAGGCACCAGCTAAGCGGGTACCAAACAATTTACCCTCTTCGAAGCTCAATAAGCTTTGATATGACTCTGCATTACTAGCAGCTCATGCAGTGAATGACGAAAGTAAGGTTTCCCGCCTGTTAGCTAGGTGTCTCATCACACAGCAGAAGCAAAAGAATTTTACACCACTTCCGCTTTCAACGCAAAACATATTGTCACTTTTGTAAAGGAATTAAAGATAAAGATTGATTAGACAATCTGCCACGACCTTTCAAACCTGACAATTTTTCAATTTTTTTTTAGTGTTTCAATTGTTGGAAATATTATGTTTTGCATTATATTTTCACATTGCTTTTGTAAGTGAAAAGTGAAAAAGTGAAAGCATGTGTTTCCTCCGGCTACTCTGGTTTCCTCCCACAATCAAAAACAAATCAAATCATGCTGGTAGGTTAATTGGCTCCTGTCTAAATTGTACCTAGTATGTGTATGTATGATTGTGTGTTAAGAGACCTTAGATTGTACGCCCCTTGAGGGCAGAGATTGATGTGAATGTATAATGTGTGCATGAAAAGCGCTGCGTAAACTATATAAATACCTGTAATAAACTAGAAACCACCTGTCTGTGCTTTACCATTCTGGCTCTTTATCTGGACGTTTTAATATTGGATCAAAGTTCTGCATGGCAGAAATTTTACAAATTTGTTAAAACCTGAACTGCCAGAAATTCTACATTCTTCCCCTGTATTGCCACAAGCCCATTGTGTTTGTGTTTGCTCTGTGTGTAATATGACAGCTTTTCCTGGACCTTTTTATTAAACTTCTTCTGGAAGAATCAGAAAAGGTAAAATATAAGCAGATTAAACTTCAGCTTTAGTAACTTCTCTTTAGGTCCTGGCATCCAGCACATCATAACCAGATCGATGACCTTTTAGGTTGTGGGTATAGTGCATTGGAAAAAGTCCTGCTTGTCATATTTACATAGTTACATAGTTAGTCAGGGTAAAAAAAGACAAAAGTCCATTCAGTTCAACCAAAAAAAAAATTTATAATCTTACACCCACAGTTGATCCAGAGGAAGGCAAAAAAAACCCAGCAAAGCATGATCCATTTTGCTCCTGCAGGGGAAAAAATTCCTTCCTGATTCCCCGAGAGGCAGTTGGATACTCCCTGGATCAACTTTACCTATAAATGTTATATTTGTGTATCTAGGATTTAGTGGATCTAGTTATATTCTGTGTATCTAAGAAAGAATCCAGGCCTTTTTTAAAGCAATCCACTGAGCTGGCCAGAACCAACTCTTGAGGGAGTCTATTCCACATTTTCACAGCTCTTACTGTGAAGAAACCTTTCCGTGTTTAGAGAATAAATTTATTTTCCTCCAGACGTAAAGAGTGCCCCCTTGTCCTCTGTGATGACCTCAGGGTGAATAGCTCTACACCGAGTTCACTATATGAACCACTGATGTATTTATACATGTTGATCATATCCCCCTTAATCTCCTCTTCTCAAGAGAGAATAAATTCAGTTCCTCTAATCTTTCCTCATAGCTGAGCTCCTCCATGCCTCTTATCAGTTTGGTTGTCCTTCTCTGTACTTTCTCCAGTTCCCCAATGTTCTTTTTGGGAATTGGTGCCCAAAACTGAACGGCATATTCCAGATGAGGTGTTACTAATGATTTGTACCGGGGTAATATGATATCTCTCTCTCTGGAGTCTATACCTCTTTTAATACAAGAGAGGATTTTGCTCGCTTTAGAAACCGCAGCTTGGCATTGCATGTCATCATTAAGCTTGTGATCTACTAGAACTCCCATATCCTTCTCCACCATTGATTCCCCCAGTTGTACCCCCCCTAGTATGTATGATGCATGCATATTCTTAGCCCCCAAGTGCATAACCTTACATGTATCAACATTAAACCTCATTTGCCACACAGTTGCCCAATTAAACAGTGCATTGAGGTCGGCTTGTAAATTGAAGACATCCTGTAAGGACGTTATTCCACTGCACAGCTTGGTGTCATCTGCAAAGACTGAAATGGGATTTTTAATCCCAGACCCTATATCATTTATAAATATATTAAAAATTAAGGGCCTTAACACTGATCCTTGGGGTACACCACTGACAACCCTAGACCATTCAGAGTATGAATCATTAACCACTACTATCTGAATACGATCTTTTAGCCAGTTTTCTATCCATTTACATATGGATTTTTCCAAGCCCGTGGACTTTACCTTACACATTAGCCGTGTGTGGGGAACTGTGTCAAACGCTTTTGACATATCCAAGGATACCACGTCCACAGCCAACCAAAACAAATGAGATTTGTTTGACAACTTCTGTCTTTCATGAATCCATGCTGTCAGTTGCTTAAAATATTTTTTTTTTCCAGCAAGAACTCATCTATTTAGTCTTTTATTAAACTCTCCAGTACCTTCCCAACTATAGATGTAAACTTTGAGGTTTTCATCAAAACATACATTAAACAGATTTCAATTGTAACACACACCTAAAACGTACAAAACAGTAAATTATTTAAAGTAAAAGTATAGGGCCAACTTTTTTTTTTATCGTTTTGGATAGAGTAAGGGAAGGTCATAACCTTTGTCAGTTTACTTTTTGTCACTTGTGTCCTGTTCTGAAAATTCCCTTCACTTCCTGTCCCATAGCCAAAACAGGAAATGAAAGGAAACCCCAGCAAATTAAAGGAATCCCTTGGGGACCCCCAGGCCACCAGAACTAGTGTCTCTATTGGAAGACTTTCCCTCTATCACTTTTCTGGGGACAACCCAAAATTTGGCATTTTCTTACACTTTCACTTTCAATAATAATAGCAAACAGGACAAATAGAGAGGGTGAATCTACCTAATGAGGGCACAGACCGCAATAAAAACTGACAGGTGATCTAATCCATCTTCACTCTGTCCAAAACTAATAAAAATGTTTGCCTTTAGTTGTACTTTAAGAAAGCTCCTGATAAATCTCCCCCCCCCCCCCCCGAAAAATTAAAAAAATAATGCAGACATGATGAACCACTTGGACTTTCACTGTTGTCAGTCTTCTGTTAAGTACATGCAGTGCATCATACCAACCATAAACTTTCTGACGAGGTCTTAAAAAACACTGCCACCTTGTTCATTTAGGACAAAATGACAATGTCTGAAGACAGTTCACCTACCCCACAGGCAGTTATTCTTACCAAGCAATGCTCCTACACCGCTTCCCCGCACTGCTGAGCCCTTGCTAATGAAGTTAGTATTTCAGGTATTGGGAAGCACATGACCTCCCCCATGTGATAATTCTTGAGCCTGAGCTGCCAATCACCACTCCAGAATGCTTGATGCATGAGATCACCCCATATCCAAGCTCCAGCAGTAGCCAACAGTGGAGCAGGCATAGCTGAGTAAATCTAAAAGCCTGGGGAGGTTAGGTATCTGATTGGGCAAAGTGAAGGTGTCTTTTTAATTGTCAGTTATAATGTACACACCTAAGAGTTTAGTAGGGCCCGACCGAGATTCAATCCATGTATGGGCAGGATGGTTTATCTGAAGTTGATCAATCAACTTCAGTACATCCAGCCTGCAATAACCACCAGCAGTGATCATTGTGTTCTGCTGGCAGGGAAGGCTCCCCACCAGCAGATCACAATAGTACTGCAGGAGCGATTCCCCCAACAACACTGTCTATGTTGATGTGGGAATGGAGCAGTCTTTTATCCTTCCACCCATGGTGGAAGGAAAGAAAATTGCATAATCTATGGGCAGCTTAAATGCCAATGTATAGCAAGACAGATGCAGTGTGACCTGAGAGATACCATGTGAAAAAGTGGTAGAAGGATCTTAAAGCACAATTGCCATAAATAAAAATCTTTCAATGAAGCTTTTTGGAAAATGGAGGCAATTAATTATGACAAATAATAATACAAAGCGAGTTTTGCTCCGCTAGTATAGAGTACTTACCAACCAGCTCATCTTTTGATTTTCTCTTTTGTGGAGGAACCGGAGTATCCATGTTCAGGTCAATAGTTACCTGTTTTGGATGATAATTCATTACGTGCGGTTTCACATTATAAAAACTCTTATATGGTAATTCCTACAGATCGTTGTATTTGCAGGCACTATGGAGTAGTTCATCCTTGAGTTTACTGAAACAGCACTTTTACTTTCTGCTGAACTCATTCAGCTCCTCCTCCAGCAGTAATTTGGCAGTCATCTGAACTCTAATGTAAACACTGAGTAGGCACACATGAAGACATGGAGAACAAAGTGCTGACACCCAATT